TAATAATATATATATTTTTTTAAAACTCGTTTCTATTGATTCCATTCCCTGGTGGCTCTAGGCACTTCACAATAAAACAAGATTTATGTCAACATTTCTCGCTTACGGGACCATTCAACGTTCAATAACTCTTTCAAATACATACTGTATACACTTGTAACCTGACGACCAACACATACACAAAAAGACAATCACTGTGGTTACTGATCACACTTGCTGTTAGATGAAGAATCAAACTTTGGTTGGTAAAATAGGATTTATGCACGCGGGCTATATGACAACAACCTAGCAGAGTGGGTTGTGGTTGGGGAAAATGGGGGGGGGTGTTGGACAGTACGTGGGACAAGGTGAGTGGACAGTAAACATAATAATAAACACATTTCAAATACATGTCCGATTCTCAACATTTTCGCTGCCATGTAGTACGTATGTACTCGTTTGTGCTTTTCAAAATTGGTTTCTTGCCACTTTCCACTCGTTTATCATAGTAAATCAGAAGGATAGCCCCAGAACGGGTATATTTGCAGCTTGTGTAGTTGCTTTTTAAAAAATATTTTAAGTATGGGAAAATATATTTTAGTGTTGTTTGAATCTCTTTTGAATATAACTTTATCTAGATCATTATACAAACGTTGACGAAACGTCTTAGCAACAAATGGGCATATGTCAATGGCATACACGTTGAAGGATTTGACATTGAGCAGCTTGTCAAATTGAGACAGATACAGGGGTAGGGCACTGACCGGATTGTTTGTAAATTACACGCGGGTATAACAGTGACCCAAATGCGAGTCGGAGACAGATAAACGGACAATATGGCACTGGCCTCAATTAATGCGAACGGGAGACAGGTGCACAGATACGCCACCAAACCAAAGTGAGTGAGAAGTAGATTGACCTAGTATGTGTGTATAGGTTACAATTATGTAGGACGTGAAACAGATACACCGAAAGGTGGCATTGGCCACCTAGTGGGTGAGAGACAGATTCATCGGATTTAAGTGTCAGACAGATATCTGGAAAGGACGCAGACAAACCTTTGCGTGGGAGACAGATATAGGCCATAAATAACATGAGTATGGCACTCACGAGCCAGAGGATGAGAGACAGAGATACATGGATATAAAGCTGCAGGTATTTAAATTTGAGACACATACATGGATAGACCGTATTGACCGCCCCGTGGGTGACAGTCAGACTCACAAATATAACATTCAAAGGCATTGCACGACAGGCCAACAGGCAGATACACGAGTATGGCACTGACCACGCAGAGGTCGAGAGACAGATACACAGATAGCCTAAGAATAGTCTAAGACACTGACTAGCATTTGAATGCGAAACAGAAACACGGACATGGCTGTGACCCAAATATGAATGAGAGACAGATACATGTACTAGATACACAGATAGGACAATAAGATAAGATGTGAGTTAGAGACAGGTACACAGTACAGAACACTGATGGAAAATGAGTTGGAGACAGATAAACAATGCAGAACACTGGTGTAAAAAGAGTTAGAGACTGATACATTTACACAGGACAGAACACTGATGTAATATGAGTTGGAGACTGATACAAGGATAGGACACTGACATAACATGTGAGTTGGAGACAGATACACAGACATAGCACTGACCCGCCAGTCAACCCAATGATGTTCGAGTCGTCACAGCCGAAGATGAACTGCAGGAAATCTAGGAGAGATGTGCTGGCAGCTGTCACCATGGTAACTAGGACGCAACCACGCAGGCCCAGTTTGAGCTTGGTTGTGATTAGACCACCAACGAATGTGCCCAGAGCCATGGATATAATGTTGACCACACCTACCATACACAAGACAATAATAAATTATTATAGACATACACATACACATATACACACATACATACACACATACACACATGCATACGCACATACACACACTTAAACAGAAATACACACACACACATAAACACACCACACACAAACACACTCACACACACATACACACACACACTCACACACACACACACACACACACACATACACACACTCATATCAGATAGAGGTAGAAATAAGAGATAGAGAGAGAAATAAGAGACAGTGAGAGAAAGAGAGAGAGAGAAAGAGAAAAAGAGAGAGAGAGAGAGAGAGAGAGAGAGAGAGAGAGAGAGGGGGGGGGGGGGAGAGACTGAAAGACCGAGAAATGGAGAGAGAGACAGAGAGGCCATGAGAGTGAGGAAGAAAGCGAAAGGGAAAGAGTAAGAGAGTAAGAGACAGACCGAGAAAGAGAGAGATAGATAGATAGATAGATAGATAGATAGATAGATAGATAGATAGATAGATAGATAGATAGATAGATAGATAGATAGATAGATAGAGAGAGACTGAGAGAGAGAGAGAGACAGACAGACAGACAGACAGACAGACAGACAGACAGAGACAGGGAGGGGCGTAAGGTGGAGGGGGGGGAGGGATGATAAGAGGGTAACGAACCAAAACCCCCCACTAAATCCCCTCTCCCTTAAAACAAAAAAGAGAGAGAGAGACTCACCAGAAGCCAGACTAACTTCCTGCGCCGTCTTATTGAACTGGCTCTCCACGTACTTCTGGAGGAACATGAAGAAGCCGGCGAAGGCGAGCCAGTTGACACAGGCCGAGACCAGGGCCAGGAGAAACACAGGCCGGCGAAACAGCCGACAGATTGACCGGGGAAGTTCTGGGGAATGCATTGCATAATTGTAGAAGTTTTATTCACTCATCGACATTAGTTATATAATTTGCATAGCTGGTTGTTTCGGCCCCGACTGTCAGGGTCAACCTGGGTTGAAAGGGATACAGCGTCCCGGGTAGAAAGACATGCACACTTATTTACTTACTCTCTCATATACCGTCAGGTACAAATTGCGGAGAGCAGTTGACGCCACGCTTGACTGTCACTGTCCCTGGATACGTCCTCCAATTTCGACGCATCCAGTTAGTCTTCCTCTTTTTCTTTTTTCCAGTTGGTCTCCAATGCCATGTCTGGTCGGGCAATCTTTATCTTCGGCATTCTTAGAACATGTCATAGATATCTCCATCTTCTTCTTTTTATGGTCGTAATGATATCTTCAATTCCAGCTCTTTCCAACACTTTACCATTTGAAATAAATTAATTCCATTTTATTAAAAGACAGAGATGCTCGATACGAAATTTAGTTTTCTCCACACGCGAATCGAACTCATGTCTTTTGCGTGTGGCGGCAAAGCGCCTAACCGCTACATCACAGACGCCGGTGAGCTCTGAAAAGAGTGACTTTTGTTTGTTAGTAAGCTTTTCTGAGTAAATAGAAGCACATGGGTACGATAATGGTGTAAGGAAAGAGCAAGACAGATAAACAGGTACAGCAGAGGGAAAGAAAAGAAGTAGGGCCTACAAATATGGTACTGTACCCTCCAAACATCTATTATTCGGGAAAGAGTGAGCACACGCAAGTGGTGTGACATGAGGCCGCGAGCAAGTAGAGGTAAACGACTGTAAGTGTTTTAAACCCCCTGCCGAAGCAATCTAAATCGTTTGGGGGGCGGGCTGCTTCGATCCTGGTCGTCACGGCCCAGTCGGACAGACGGACACAGTATCCCAGCAGACAGATTGGGGGAGGGGACTCGTACAGAATACCGTCCCACCTCAGGAGTTGATCACACGTCTTTTGTGTACTGAAGCTAAGAGTCTGACCCATCACCCAACTCTTCTTAATGAATAATAACAGTTCGTCCGTTAATGTCTGACAATGACCAACGTATCTCGGTTTTTTTAGTAAGAGTTTTGCGGCACTTGCAACACAAATTGGTCATGCAAGGGCCGAAGATTTGAGGTGTTACAAGAGAGTAACAAACACAAAGAAAGGAGGAGCAATAAGGATGTTAGATGTTTTATAGGAAAGAAGGTGCAAATGACACCAGAGCACTCGCCAGTCATAAACCCAGTGTATCTGCATAGGAGAATATTTCTTTAAATGAAATAGAAGGGGTATATAGGGATTACGATGACTTGCAGCTTCTGCTAAGAGACTAAATCTGGCTGAGAAGAGCTTGTCTCATTTTGAGCCTTTAAATGTACTGCTCTCTTGGCTTCAGCATTCTAGTTCGTGATGTTTCAAAATGATTTGCTGCCCTCATCATAACATTTCTCACAACATCACAACACATCAAATAAAACATGTGTACCCGCAGCCTCTGTGATGTAGCGGTTCGGTGCTTCTCTGTCGTACGTAGAATACCCGAAATCGATTCCCGAGTGGGGAGAACATTTCAATCGAGTGTCTCGGTCCTTGTGCTTGGATGTTGTATTCTTCTCTGCCCGGGTTGGCTCTCATGGGCAGCATCGGAGACCCACCACCTAAATGACCAAAATTGTGTCGATGGGGCGTGAAAACACCGACATAAAAAACGAAAAAAAAAACACACCCCAAAAAAAAACAACAAAAGACCCCCCCCCCCCCCAGCCTTGTTATGTACTCACCCATCACTACATGACGTGTTCTTCTCAGCCTGGAGTTCCTTGGCTGCTTTTTTTCGTCCTGTTCACTCTTGTGGGCGTGGTCATCTTCGATGTGGCTCGGCTTCCTCCGTTTCATACTCCTCGGGAAAAACATGATTGGCACGTTGAACACTATGCTCGCCCCGCCCACAATGAGGAATCCAAGCCACCAGGCGCCTATCCAGCGTTGGTCATGCTGGGAGATTGTTGTGTCTGAGTCGGGGTAAGGGTTGAATGTGAAGTGAGGAAGAATGTACGTGAGTAAAAGTTTGCACGAAAGTCGTAAGAGTTAAATTGTTTACTGTACCTGTATTAAAAAAATCTTTTTATGTTTTGTCCCCTTTTCTTTTCTTTTCTTTTCTTTTTGGAGAGGGGTGGGGTTGAGATGGTTTGTCAACTTTATCAAATCTTTTAGGAACTAGAACAAACCTAGGGTAATGTAAGGTATGATTACAGCATGCCAAGCATACGACACTAGTATTCAGCCATACCATAACACAAAACACATCAACATAAATAGTAACGACTACAACAGCATCAACAGACATGTTTACAGCAGAGTCAACAGCTAGGTAGCAACATCTGCAGCTACATCTACGACAACAGTAACAGCTGTGACAACAAAAACAACAATAACAACAACAACAACAACAATATCAACAGCAACAACAACAACAAAATTTAAGTCAATAAAATTACAACAGCATCAACAGCCGTGACAGCAACAACACAATAGAATAATGTATTAAACAAAAAATTAACCCCCCCCCCCCCCCCAACGTTCACTGTGTGAATATCTGTACCCGTGCTAAGGAGAACACACATCAACATACTGACATGCAAATATACATACCTGCCTAATGTAAATTAGTATTTTTGTGTTATAAAATTTCATGAAGTGAACGTACTGACCCTTCAGTCACACCCAGATAAGGCCAGCACACGTAAACCACAGATCCAGTTCATCGTGCGCATGTGACCGAAGACAAAATACTGCAGATCTGCATTTAGACCTACACGTAACAGATTTCATGAAAGCTACAAATTATCAACTTGCTATGATAAAGGCTTGGGTCAGATCTAGGCCAAAATCAACCTGATCAAGCTTTGAAGTCCTTATACTTATACCATGGTTGGTCATCATGTAAAGAAAAGTATAACTGAGCTAGGACATTTATAAAGTCGTAAACAGATGTATCGAAGTGTCGTAAAATACATCAAATGAGGGGCGCTTCTCTAAACTTGACTCAATACGACGATGATTATAATTAACTTTAGCCACTATCACGCCACGTTGACAAATTAATGCTCGCGTATACCGAACTAAACTAACCCAAGAGACTCCCGTGACTTTTGGGTGAGATTACCTGAGAGGTCAAAGGGCAAAGTGCTGAGGTAACTGCCAAGGAGCATGGCAATCGGGGGACCAAACACCATGGTGGTGAACGAGGAACCTGGGAACACACGAACACATAAACTGTTATCGACACGGATGAGTCAATTAATCCTTCCATCATTCCGTCCTCAGCACACAACACACTTTTACAAGATCAACATGGTCACATACTCCACTAACGACCCTCTCTCTTTCCGCTTGCTTATTTTGTTCCGATAAGACACTTTGATTAGTCTTCTGTTGTCCCTCTCCTGTTCTTTATTGTTAAAAAATTTACTTCTTGCACCACATTCTGTCTGTCTGTCTGTCTGTCTGTCTGTCTGTCTGTCTGTCTGTCTGTCTGTCTGTCTGTCTGTCTGTCTGTCTGTCTGTCTGTCAGGGCCAACCCTCGCTAAAGGAGTTACATGTACAACTTTCCAGCAGAAAGTGAAATACTCGTTGAAAATTTCACCCACAATACGAGATCCCGAGATGTGAAGTCCTAGGAAACAACTAATCAACTTTATGCCTTTCAGTTTTTGATGTTAAGAATGTGTTGAATTCACCCTAATGTGTTCTGAAATGGATTTATCTGGAAACTCAGCCTGGCCTTCAGAAGGCCATTGAAGGAGTGGAGGCTGTGCGGCCCAATGGCGTAAGAGAGGTCCGTATGGGCTCCGATGGTCGCGGCTATCGCTACTTCAACTTCTATAGATGTTAATGTATCTCTTAACTCCTTTTATTGTTTCGGCTTGTCTGTCTAGCTTTTTCCCAGAGCTAAATGACCACTATTGTATCATCCAAGGCCTATAAAACGAGATTTGATGGCTTCATGGTAAAAGGAAGGCCAAGGAAAAGCTGGATCGACGGAGTCAAAGAGACACTCCTAAGGCACAATATGACGATCCAAAAAGCAACACACCTGGCCCAGGTCTGACAATTACACCTCCCCGCGACACCTCATGGTATAGGAGGACAGAAAAAGTTTTTAAAAGTAAATATTATGTCTCTGTCTGTCTGTCTGTCTGTCTGTCTGTCTGTCTGTCTGTCTGTCTGTCTGTCTGTCTGTCTGTCTGTCTGTCTGTTTGTCTGTCCTGCCCATTCCCTCCGCTACAACACCGTTGTTGTATCTCTTTACTCAAACCAAGTGCGACTCACCAAGATAGAGCGCAGAGCGAGTTTTATCCTTTATGTTCTGCTCCACGTAATATGTCAGTAACGGGATCCGGAAAGACTTGGAGGTTCCCCCCAGCAGCGCAGCGATGAAAAGCAGCCAGTAAACCCAGGAGGACCTCAGGGCTTCAGGGGGCTCCCCGGTGAGGTCAGGGGTCACTGTAGACAGGGTCACATTCACACTCGTGACCTCCAGCTCCGAGGGTTCCTTGTGTACGCAGACATATTTTTGGTTGATGTCACTTCCGACCGTTACATTCATTAGTGTTGAGACTTTGGATGAGATAAAATGAGAACACCTATTTGTTACGATTGGCTGTTAGGTGAGGTTGCAAAAGTAGTATATCTGCTATAACGAAAAGAAAAGATACGTTCCATAATATCAAAGTGCAAGGTCATTTTTTAGGTGGGCTTCTTCGATCGTGCCTGTCAGAGCCAACCCCGGCTGATTGGGATACAGTATCCCACCATACAGACGGAGATACTGAATAGAATAACTTCCCTCCACGGGAATGGAACTCATAATAACTTATTCGTGCAATGGTGGGTAGTCTACCACTACACCGCCAGTTTACGTGAGAGAGAATCGAGAATAGCAGCCGTCTATCCATTTCTCTTGATCTTCTTTTAAAGAACCGTTTTTGTTACAGGCGTAAAGAACCTTTTCTGCTGTTTGGGTAAGGCAGTGCTTGTCAGTCTTGGCGATGCCTTCCACTAATGGCCGATTTGGTAGTTTTAGTGGGCAATTGGGATCACTCAAGCAGTGACAGGTCGCTTAGAAACAAACTTGTATAGGCCTATAGTTGGGCAGTGTGAAAATTTAGCCTATTAACGGTGGCAAAAGTGTTCGCTGGTTATTAAAAAGGTAAAAAGGTTGACAAGCACTGATAAAAAAAACCCCACTTCTGCAGTCTATATAATGTCATTTCTGTTGTTTGGAATGGAACCATTTATGTTGACTGTGTTGGGAAACACGACTTTTTCAATCATGTATCCGAACTTTCTGTATCAACAGACGTTTAAGAAAACACTTCTGCAGTCTGTCATTTCTGTTGTTTGCAAAATGAACCATATTTTGTGTTGACTGTTTTGGATAACACGGCTTCTTCTAAATCTATCTTGTGTCCTAAATCTCTGTATCTACTGACGACTCACCGGATGAGTGCTGATCCAGGCTGGGCTCCTGCAGCCGGCCCAAAGACATGGCTAGCGTGGCGAGGCCGAAGAGTATGCCGGACACAGAGAGGCAGCGTGGGATGTGCGTGTACTTGCCAAAGTGGCTGCCCAACAAGACGGCGAACAGTTGGCCCATGTCGTTAGCGCCCAGGATCAGACCTGGTGGAGAACACAAAATGACTCTCTTATCTATCGTAAATGTCTTACACTCTCATCAAAAGACACATTTTTGTTATTCGGGAGGCGAGCTGCTTCGGCCCTGCCTTTCAAGGCCATCCCGGGCTGAGCTTGATGCAACTTCCCAGCAAGTAAACGGGGATAAAGATGAATAAACTTCCGCTTTCAGAAATCGAACTCGCGCCTTCTGAGTGCAATGACAAAGAGCCAACCATCACACTACAAAGGTCGATGAGCACAGAAATTAAATATAATGAACTGTTATATAGGCCCTAATACTGTTGTTAGCTTATGGTTTACGACTTGTCGGCACTGCTGTGATCATAATATTTTATCCAGGAACATATCGATGGCGTATGCACAAACCGGTCATTTGTAAAAATTATTAAAACTTAGGGGTTTTTTTTTCTTTAAAAAAATATTTGTTTTACTATGTTGCAAAGCAGAGCCAAATACACCAACTCAGTATAATGATATAACTCTTCAGTGAATAGAAATGCATACCACTTCAACGTGAAATGTTAGTCGAAGTGGTCTTTGATCTGGTAGAACAGTTTTATTCCTCTTCAGTAACACTGGCTTCCAGGGAAGCCGACCTGAGCCCAACGCCACAAAAAAGTGGACAATACACTTGTTATAAAACCGAATAAAACTGACCTATAGCTACATATCAACGATAGGCAGGGAAGGAAGAACCAAAAGCAATACTGAAAATATTAATGATTATAATTAATGATAATGACATTTATATAGCGCATATACTTTCTTTACAGCATGCTCTATGCGCTTTAAATCTATTATTAACCAAGCAGACCCTATAACACCCAGAAACATTTTCGGCTTCCCGAGAGACATAGTGCAAGCTGCCGATTGCACGCACTCAAAAACTAACAAACTGAGGAGTTCTATTGCTATTCACGTAAAGTGCCTTTTCCAAGGATACAGCGTCGGGCTCCTGATGGGATTCAAACCCATGATCATACGATAACGAATCTGAGAGCCTAACCAATCACTAGGCTATGGAGTGACAGCGTTGTCCACCCACCCTGGCCTACTAAACTGGTCGATCTCTTCACCAATGTATCAATTCACCTGATCGATTAATTACTAATTGATGGTGAAAGTTCTTACCTACCAGTCTCTTTTCTAGTGTGTCACCCATCTGACTACTTGGCAGGTGGCTGGAAGACGCCACTGGTAGGTCCGACTTCTTTTCTTTTCACGTGTTGCTTCTATATGTTTGCAACGTCTTACATTTTTCCCCAATACTAAACACACAAAAAATTGTCTCGATGCGCTTCTCTTTTCTCAAACAATTTTTCTACTGTGTCGACTCACTTGTCCAGCGACTGGACAGTCCGAGATGTCTTTGTATGGAGGTGACCTGGCTGGCCAACAGAGAGCCTGTCATGATCATCCAGATGCCAGCCACGCCGTACGACATGACGAACACAGGGAGACTGACGCATTCTGAGGAGGGGCGGGGAGAGACGCACGTTATATATAACATACATACATATATCGCCCCCCCTCCCCAAACATACATAAATACACATAATATGCACACACACACAAATAAATACGACTATGCCGTATGTCATGAAAAACACGGGGGATTGCTGCATTCTGGCTGCATTCTGGGGAGCACACTCATGTATACACACACATACACACACACACACACACACACACACACACACACACACACACACACACACACACACACACACAAAGACACACAGACACACACGCACGCACGCACACACACACACAAACACACATACACACATACACACATACACACACACTCACACACACACGGACAAGCTCACACAAACTAGCATTTGGACGCAAATGCAGACATAATATAGGTGGGCACACTCATATTTATAGTGATGCGCGCACACACAAACATACAGGTAGTTCACACGCATAAACACATGCACACACACACCCACAGGGGAGCTCTCGTGGCCTTGGGGTTAAGGTGTTCGCCTCTCATTCAACAAGTGCCGTGTTCGAATCAGGATAGCAACGCAAAATTTTCTTTTCTAAAATTGTCTCCTTTCACATCTCTTTCCGGCTCTTTAACAATGTTCTGTCGTCTGCTTTCGTCTCCACCTTCTGCCCCCACCCCCTCACCTCCATTGCCTCTTTCTCTGGACTCCTGACTCCTTCTGCGGCCTTTCTTCTGCTACTTCTTGGCTCCTTCTTACTGCTGTCTTTCAGCTACAGTCCTGATCTTCTGGTAGGAAAGATCTACATCTAGCATTCTCGGACAAGAACGAAAAATCTCGGAAGTCCCGTGTGCAAGTTGCGCACGTTAAAGATCCCTTGGTGGTCTAAAATCGATAATTCGGCCGTCACCAGGGCAAAATTCAAAATTTCCTACCAACTGAAAAAGGTTTAATATGTCCCTCTCGCTCATATGACCTTATACGCTTATCCACGAATACTGTTACCCATGCAAGAGTTCAGTGTAAGACAGACAGAACGTTTGTAATCTTGCATTATTGTTTGCCTTTTTAACGAATTAACGATTACAAAGAGACACGCACGACATGCAACAATAATAATATATTTTACCGCCCAGACTCAACACACACGAATATAGGTCGGTGCATGTCAATCTTTTTAAAGCCATCGCCCACTTTCACCACCTCCAAGAGGAGAACATTTTCGCACAACCCACTTACATGTACGTGGGCTGTCCCATGGAAAATCGGAATTTGGCTGTAATTTGAAAACTATTCAATATTTTCACATTCTGTAAACGCATATTTCTAAAACAATCATTTAGAAATTTCCCTATTGAGCACTATGGGCACCGCACAAACCAAACGAACACAGCGGTTCTCCAAAGATAGCTACCCCCTTGGAAAATTGGTCAAGGGTAGAAGTGAGGTCTCATTTGGTTTTAAGTCAGTTTACGGGGAGAAAGTAATGGCAAAGTCACAGCAATATGAATGGTAGGGTAAATTCAAAGCCGGGCATACGGATGTCAATGACAAATTCACGCAGGACCTTGTTTTTCTGCCAAGACTGAGGACAACAAGAGTCGCGTTAACAAACTCATTCAAACAGACAGGCGCCTAAAAATTCGCGAAATTTCCTAGTCGCTTAACATTTCAAAGTCGCCTGTCCATAGGATAGTGTTAAAAGAGCTGCACTATCGAAAGGTGTCTGCTCGATGGGTCCCAAAAGAGCTGACAGCTGACCACAAGACGCAACGTGTTGAAATGTCTCAGACTTTGTTGAATCGTTGTCGCCAAGCTGTCACGGGAGTCATGAACGTATCTAGAGACCTCCAACAATACGATGAAGCATTCCTGAGAAGCATTATTACAGGTGGTGAGACTTGGATACATCACATGACCCCTGAGACGAAGAGGGATTCAACGGTTTGGAAGCACACGTTTTCACCTCCCCCGAAAAAGTTTAAAGTTCAGCCATCGGTGAAGAAACTAATAGCCACGGTTTTCTGGGGTGCTAAGGGTGTTCTGCTTTTTGACATTCTGGAACCAGGACTAACTGTTAATGCTAACAGACACTGCCAGACTCTTGATAAGTTGAGAGAGGTTGTGCGCTGAAAAAGACCAGGCCGGTTGTCCATCAGGGTCAATTTGCAGTATGACAACGCAACGCCACACACCGCAAACACCACAAAAGACTGAATCCAAAGGTTCGGCTGGGAAGTTCTGCTACACCCCCCTTATAGTCCTGACTTTACCCCGTCAGATTATCACCTTTTTGGGCCAATGAAACGTCATATTTTTGGACAGCCATTCACCGACGACGAAGACCTCGTGGAAGCCGTGAAAGATTGGTTGAATTCCCTTAACGTAAAATTCTTCAGGGAGGGTATCTTCTCCCTGATCCAGCGATGGGAAAAATACGTCCAGCGGGATGGTGATTACATTGAGAAATAAAGCACATGTTGATGTATGATGTGTTACATTCTTAAAATTATAATAGGACAAAGATTGTTGCTTTTATGGACTTTTCCGGTTTTCCGTGGGACAGCCCTCGTATTATTATGTATTTCGAAGAGGGGCATTAAATGATATAATATTAATATGTCACTACTCACCTGATCTTCACCAATATCCAAATTTTAAAAAAATCGCCCACAAGAAGATGAAATCGATCTAGCTGGGCAAGCACGTATTATGTAAGTGTTTTCTCTGCATAAACAATACGTGCAAACTCTTCTTACTTTGTGGACACTTGGGCTTGCAGCATCCGATGCCACACTGTCCGGTTTCCGACTCATCTGATTCGTGATCAGAGCCCATAGGGGGTACATCTGGTAGCCTGACGAAAAAGAAACCTTTGATTATCAAGCCTCAGTCTTTGGGGAACTGGGTTTGGCTTAGGTCGGGTACCGTACAACATGAAGCAGAAGGTCAATGCGATTATATTGTCCACAAGACAAGCCTTACTCACATCGCTCGGCGTATGGCACGCATGACGCCTGACATGACATATAAAATAACACACAGCGCACTATTCGACATATGATAAGGCGCTTGACACATGGCACAAAACAACACATAACACAACGCATGACCGACTACATGACACTCGACGCAACGCATAATACGATACACGGCATATTTTTCGATTCCTGAAACGACGCAACACGTAAAGCAGCATATTATAACAAAACTCACAGCATTGTATTCGACGCCTGAAGAAACGACACAACGACATACGACATAATGCGTAATACGATACACAACGCACCACCCAATACATGACACGACACACCATTCAATACATGACAATGACGCGACACATAGCATGTCAATGGACTTCCAATACAATAAAACACTTCACCAGACATACAACAAGACTCTACACGGCAGATAACCCAATATACGACACCTAAGGTACTACCAACACATGCAACCACCATTGTCCTGGCGGGAGAACTCACCCTGTGAGACGCACGATAGGGTATGCAATGCGACTCATGACGCGACAACGGACAGTTTACTACACTAAAGATGACACATTGCCTGGATACCCGGATACATGTACATGGAGGTGTCATCTTTGGATCAGAGGTTGTCTACGATCAATTGCTGCAGTGATGCATTTTGTCATGCAAAGGCAAGCGATGCTTTGATGTTGTCGTTCCACTATGTGCGCTGTCCACTTTTAGCCATTGTTCTCCACATCAAGCCGTTGAGTACTTCTTTCATACATATGACGTATGATATGACACACAAGGTACCACACGGAACAAGCAGACACTGCTTGCCAACCTTTTTATATCCAGTGCTCCCTTTTGCCACCTTTCAGAGGCTAACACTTTTGTACTGCCAACCTGCATGTAGACTATTTCCAAGCAAGGCATTAATAAACAATAGTCCTGTCACTACTCGGGCAATCTCCACCTCCCACCAAAAGGACCAAATCGCCCACTAGAGGGGGATATCGCCACGGTTGGCATGCACTCCTCTATACGATACACGATACGTCTCATGACACGACACACGACAAAAAAATACAACATGCTCTATACGATATAGGATATGTGTCGTGACACAACATACGACACACGACACAACAAACGTCACAATACACGAAACCCAAGACTTTAACAGGCTGAGACCAGAAGCCTCCGAAAGTTCTCACCGCTGTACAGGGAAGTAATATTTGCCCCCAGGTCCTACAACTTTCGCTGTCGCAGATGGGATGTGATCATGGTTGTCTGCTGTAGGGTAAAGGTCATCTGTAGACAAGTCAGGGTCATAGTCAGAAGAATCAAGGTCGCCTGTTGCTTCGTCAACGCCCGCTTGGTCCAGTCTGTCCAGAGAGTTGAGCATTTGCGGAACGCCTTGATACAGCTGGGAAGGGCAAACCGGAATGGAGGGATCGGAGGAGGATGAGGAGGAGGTGGATGAGGAGGAGGAGGGGAGTTACAATGGGAGTCATGAGTCAATCATCGGCGCACACAAGACTAGTGATGTGGGTAAATATAAAGTATAGCCCACTTTTGTGAACTGTCTGACCTAGAAGAACGCAATAGGTTCACTGCGGGCATCACACAGGGGTTGCAACTGCATATCACATGAAAATTAGTCTTTGATGCGCGGAGACTTGGGTGGGGGTGTATACTTTACTCTAACCCGCTCTGTGAATATCAGCTGTTTCATTTGGGACGACATGGGTCCAGCACGTAGTTCCTTGTGGATAAAGATTACATGTATTGAAGTTTACGAACAGTCATGAAAGTAATATTACATGTATTAGTAAAAGGTAGAATTATTTAGATGCTACGTACTGAACCCCGTGTCTTCACGATAGAAACAGAGTGCACCCACAAGCCCACCCTTCCCCCAACGCATGTACACATGT